GGCTAACAGGCGCAAAATGTTAAGTAGCTTAGGATCTAAACGAAAAAAATATATATTTTCATCGTTTAGATCCTAAGCTACTTAACATTTTGCGCCTGTTAGCCATACTCGTACATTATTCAACATATCAACATAAAACAAAAACGTACGTGTGGGGTAAACCTTTAACTGTAAGTAAACAATTGTTTAAATTTACTGTTGCATATTTCTAATAGTATACAAGCGCCGAAGAACGGAGCTCGCGCTCGAGAATGAAAAGTTAAAGGTTTACCCCACACGTACGATTTTGTTTTATGTTGATATGTTGATTAATGTACGACTACGACTAACAGGCGCAAAATGTTAAGTAGCTTAGGATCTAAACGATGAAAATTATTATTATTTTTAATTGTAGGTAATTGTGCTAGTTAATCTACCGTGATGGAATATTTTATAAATATACATATATATTTTTCCAAAATTAAAAAAAATGGTGACGTATAAAACTAGGGTGACGTATAAAACCTTACCAATGCTGCAAAAATGAAGATAATTGAATCTTGCAAATTTCTTTTGGTTTCTGCGTATTTACACTATGTGTATACCAAATTTCAAGTGTTAGCAAATCCTCAAACAAATTTGGCAAAGTTTCGAGTTTCAGATGCCGATGGATGTATAAAACTTTATAGAACAAAAAGTTTTGCTCTCCTGATCTTCGGCTTTAGCGTCATTATTGTAGGTATATATATTGAACTATAGTTTTCGAAAGTTTTATCACTTTTTGTTTATAATTGACATTTTACAGCAACTTTAAAAAAATTACGTTTTATACAGTTTTTTCAATCTCACGGCTTTGTTATTGCAAATTTCGTAATCGGACCACCGCCATTTTGTAGCTAACTTTATTACGAACAAAATCATGTCCCAAGCATTTTTTCGTACAAAGTCATCCCGCTGAGTTATTTAAAGAAAACTATTAAAAAAGGTTTTTTTCACAATTAAATTGTTAATAACTTTTTTTCCTGATAAAATACTTTGTCAGCAAATTAGCCTGTTATTGTACTCATCATTTAAAGTATTCCTGTGAAGTTATTTCCAAGTTATCAAGGAAATGTCACCAACAGTAACTTTTCAGACTTTGCCGACTGGACTATAGGCTATCAAGAGTAAAGAAAGATATCTTTGCCACTCGGTTATACAAGACGAATTTTATAACTAGCTGGAGAAAATCTATTAAAATCTATCCAAGAGTAGCTGATATTGTTCGTTTTTGTGCAGCTTTCTGGAAAACGATCGATTCTAGCTATACATATGTAACGAATACATCTTTTTGGAAACAAACACAAGTCCTTCTGGTTGTTCTAAGATAATAAAAATATCATAATAACCCACCCTTACACAAAAGTACGATTTATACATGTTTCTTTATTATTTTTTTATCGCAGTCACTTTAAGAATCAGTTTCATCGTCTCGAAAAAAAAATGAAAAATAATTGTTCTTGGTTAATATTTTGAGTTCTGTATGCCATTAAAATCTTATCTTTACAAAATATCTTGCCATTGTTAGTGCAAACATGTGCAAATAATTTTAATTCATAGGCGTAGCTGTGGGGAGTGATGGATTTTGCTATGACGACCTCTCGCGATATATCGCGACATTTTCGCTTGGCCGGCGCACTGATTGTTCATATTTTGACTGAGCCGCATCCATGTTACAGCAGGGAGACCGACCGTCCCTGAACCCATCACAACGACATCGATAACGACAGAACAGACAGACAGACTGGCAAACTCTTTCACGCACACACACACGCGCCCGTCTACTCGGCATACGGAGCGCCTCTCACACCTATCACTAATTATTGGGACACAGCAATTTATGTTATCCATTATTACTATATTGTTACTTACAATTATTAAGTAAGCGATCGTTAAGATCCGTAAAAAACCAACACAGGTGCAGTTCTAACATTAAAAAATCTACCTAGAAGACTCACAAAACAGGGTTGCACGGTGACCCAGAACGTACATAGGGGAGTACGCGGTTGTCGCATACCTTCATTTTATTTTTAGGGTGGTGCGAGCCACCGTAAGATTGCTTATTTTTTCTTCAGTGGACACCTTTGCAACAAGGTTTTTCGTGCGAAAAAATCTTTCGTAGTGTGGTACGACAGATATTATAAAACTCGTATTACAGGGTGTACTGTTATTGTTGTTACTGTAGGGTTATTTCGGTTATTTCTTGAAGAAAAAAGTATTAAATACAAAAGCTGCAGAAGTTTTTCTGAATTCTTTATGGTTAAACTTAAAAAAAAAAACTAATAAACAATTGAAACATTAAAAAACAATATTGTATTAAGGTTTACATATTCTGCTAAAATCCTTTCCGAGAATTTCAGGGATATGAGGTTTAATTGGTGTGTCTTCAATAGTATGGGAGATATAACAAAAAGTATACCAATTTTTACATATCAAATATACTCATTTTCAAGTCAAATTTAACCTCTTGCAAGTCAAATTCATTGGTTTGTAAATCAAATTCACCATATTGGGAGCATGGAATTATATTTTTAAAAATGATCCAAAATTCATTTCCCTTATGAAAAAGATAAACATACCGTTGCCATACGTGAAAAAGTATCAGTCAAATAATGTCACCAAACGTAACCTGAAGAATAGCTTGTTGATAAAGATAGCAACGATTTGAGGAGTGTTGAATAACACATGGAAAAACATGGTTAGTTATCTCATGCAAATATTTTTGTGAAAAGTTGTCACAGATTCAAAAATTCCGGAAAATTTGGATCTCGGAAAACCTATGAAAATTAAAAAATATATACAGGGTGATTCAAAAAACCGCTGACAGACTTCTAGGGTAAGTAATACATGAAAAATTAAGATGAAAAGTCTTAATAAACATAGGGTCGCAAATGCCTCCTTAACGAGATACAGGGCGCCAAAGTTTCCGTAAAATTAAAGCGTAAAAATGACAAAAAGAAGCTTATAATCTAGTTTACTTAACTCACTTGTACACATTGACATTAGTGACAGGCGATGTTTAATTTTATTTTGAATAGCACAAGCCTACTATGCGAAACTAAAATGAATGAAAATAAAATTGGATTTACAAATTTTCTACAAAGGTGGTTCACTTAAAAATGGTTGCTTTAATCCAAATTTTGCAAGACCAATTCGATAGACAATTGAACACTTTACACCAAAACAGTGCCCTTTTGACAAAATTAGCAGTGGCGCAGAAAATATTTTTAAAAAAGGCTCACGTTGACCCCGTCTCTACGACACTGCTGCTCATAAAATTTTGAGCAGTACATCAAACATTGGTCTTAAGGTGCTAACTACGCATAGCAAATTTGAAATAGAAATGTTCAGGCATTTTGGAATTATTGCAGACAATGTTTAATTTTACTGAAACTTTGACGCCCTGTATCTCGGTAATGAGGCATTTGCGACTCCATGTTTATTAAAACTTTTCGTCTTCATTTTTTATGTATTATCTACCCTAGGAGTCTGTCAGCGGTTTTTTGAATCACCCTGTATATGTTCATAATGATGAAGAGCTTGTTGCTCTAAAATAAAAAGCAGACACGGAATTTGAAGATTTTTAAGTCAATTTGAAAAATGTTCTTCTCCGAGATCGGTTTTTTAGATTACTTTTATGTTGAAATTTGGTTAAAAAATATTTTAAATGTTTTTTTTATTGTTATCGAGAACTTATATTTTATTTCTTTCCTTTATTTACTCAAAAATGATGAATTCGAATTTTATTTATTTCTGTTGTTTTAAACAAGACATATTTAGCTTTTGTAAGTATGTGTCAGAGTCTTCTAATTTGAGATTTGAAGGCATCCAGACCTCGAGTATATAAATTTTATCAAAATGTGCCATTTTCATACTCCTTGAGATTAAAAAATATCTTGAAAACTGTTTTAACAAATACTTCTTCAAGGGGTTTTATTCGGAGTTTCTTTCATTACTTCCAATCTTTCCGATTTTTTGGTTTAGAAGAAAACGAAAAAACAGATTTTTAAACTGATGATATTGAGGGAAACAAGCCAGAATTGAATTCTACTCGTAATGTCTAGTAGTTAGGATGATGACCGGTTTCGAACTTATTAGTTCCCATCAGTATGTCATAGATCGGGTAACCGACGACTGTTTCATCTATTTTTGGTGTCATATGAGCATGGAAGTAACAATGTTGTTAATGGCTTATATGCTACATATGTGAATTAATGGCATTTGAGGGTATAAGAATTGGTTGAAAGGTTTCTAATTCTAATTTTTCCGATTTTTTCCAAACTCTTCAATTTCTAGTTCCACCAGAAGGAATTTAACCCCCGAAAAATCGATTTGGTTTACAAACGGTTGAATTTGACATGGAAAAAGTGCAAAAGATATATTCTTTTGATCATATCTCCAATACTATTAGAGTTAGATCCATTAAATCTTTTTCGCCGTAATCCTGAGAACACGTTCTGACAGAATACATAAAAATATATGAAGTGTCCCATTTAAAAAGTCATAAGTTTGGATAATATTTCTTTCAAGCAATATTCAATTGTTTTTTGTAATAACATCATAACAAACGCAGAAAAATATTTATGTTTGTATTTACTATTTTGTTCCTAAAGAGATTTCATCTACAATCAAATAATAATAGGTGACCTTTTATACCTGTTATGACGTTTTGTCTGTCGTATAGAAGTGACGTATTGCCTGCACGAAAACACCCCAGCGCAAAGGTGTCCGCTGATGTCGCCGGTGACCTTGACAAGACCTGCTTTTGCGTCTGAATTCGAGTTAAACTTAAAGATAACGATATAATCACAATTGTCATTCACTTTTTATAAAAGACTTAAGTTGAATAAATTCACTAGAAACTAACAAACATATAATAAACTAATAACATAACGGTTTTTTATATAGAACAGATATCAAGGGCGCGGTCCCGCGACGCGCGCCGTCGCCAGTGGCGCGCGCAAAACCGCCCCCGAAATAAATGTGATATAAAATGCAACAACATAACAAAGAAAACTAAGGTGGCAGGTCTACCGGGCGCGCGTCAACTGCAGCCGGCAGAACTCGTCCAGACGGAGGCCCGCCAGTTCGCGCCACAGCAGCCCCAGGTCCAGGTCGAGCGGGTTCGGATCGGGCGGGGTGGGTGGCGTGGGCGGAGCCTTGGCGACGGCTCGGGGGGCCGCGGGCTATGGCCACATCTGCAGCGCCCGCGACAGCTGACGCGTGTAGCAGAAGCCGAGGGGCTTGACGAAGTGCGTGTCCAGGGTGCGGCAGTGTGGACACGGGACCATGTGGCTGTAGTCGCTGAAGAAGTTCAGCCGCTGGGCGGGGTGTAGAACGGGCTTGTAGCATGAGTTGCACTGCAACAAAGAGTCGTTTTGTTCATTAATATCATAAATGCATGAATTTGTATGGATTCTTATTGAAGTACAATTATTACGTTTTGACAAGAGGCATCATAAATTCAGGGGTAGTTGGAACATCAAAAAAATAACTTATTTTGTTATGGACAAGAACTTTTGTTTTCGAAATACATGACGCCTAAGATGTTTTTTTTTATTTCAGAATATCTTCTAAAAAAAAACAATGTAATGCATTGAAATTTGGTACAGGTAAGTTTTTGAGGGTGTAAAATACAACAGTGTTATAGGTTATAGGAGATTCATGTGACATGTATCATATCCTAAAATGTAAAATTTCATTGTACATAAAAAAAGATAGGTACTCTTGTTGAAATAGCAGATCTTTGAAGAAAAAAGCTCAATTGACTGCTTCAAAATTAATCAGCTTCTATTATTTAATACACAGGGAGTCCGGAAACGAACAAGCTTTACTTCAATTTTATATACACCGTAAAAAAAACATAAAATGTTACTCGGAAAGATCGTCGAAAACTAATAACAGATACATATGTATTTAGCACCCTCGCGAACTTGTACTACACTGGAATATATTACATTGTTCTTGGAAAAGATATGGCTAAAATTTTATTAAAAAAAATCTTTGACGCTGTTCTCTCAAAAATAAAGCACGATGAACACTGAAAAAATCTTGTTTTCTGATGTTGTATTCAGCTTGTGAACTTTATTCCAAAATGCTCTATACAGGGTGTAACGTAAAGGTTGGGAATAAATTAAACGGTTGATCTTTTATTTAGAAAAATAAATATTTGTCATATAAAGTTATGCTCTATGGGTTTTGTTTTCAAATCTTCAGGGCGCTAAAAAATTTCAAAAAATTTTGTATTTTAAAATCATTTTCAATGTAAAAGTCCCTTTTCCATGCCTAATTGACCATGTTCAGTGGCTGAGTCAAAGCACACTTCATAATGTTTTTGTTATTTTTATTTTCCAATGTTAGCAGTGGGAAAAATAAGTGGTGTATTTACAAAAGTTTTATTTACGGAAAAATTACACGAGCTACAAATAAAACGCAAGAAGGTAATTTTGTTTCACATAAAAAGTTGATTATAAAAAAATATTTAAAAAAATTTTTTTACCAGTGACGTACCACAATTTTGCACTAAAAACATTACGGAACAATCCGTACGCACGCCACTGAGTAACTTACAAAGTCAATCTTTTTCTTGTTACTAGGGGATTATCAAATTAAGCTCATGCTAAAATTTCAAAAGTTATTGGAGAAAAACTAAATTTTTTGAAACTTTTTAGCGCCCTGTAGCTTGGAAAATAAAACACGTAGAGCATAACATCATATGAGAAAAATTTATTTTTTAAACCAAAAAATCCACAGTTTCATTTATTCCCAACCTTTACGTTACACCCAGTATACATATAGATCTGATTATAACTCTTATAAAAAATCAAAAGTGTTGTCAGTCATATAGACTTTTACTAAAAGTCATACGCAGACTGAGATATTGGAATGCAACATTCGTTATTTTTGGTTAAAAAATTTATTCCAAATATCGAAAAATAAGATAATTTGGTTTTAAATCAATTTATCCACATTCAAGATATTATCTTGTTTTAATTTTACTGTTTCGAATTTATTTATTATTATAAAGCCAATAATAGACAAGTTTGTTGTATTTATAAAATACTGTGGTTTTATAAGTTATATAATACTAGTGGTCGTAAATCCTAAGTTTAAAAGATTTTTTAAATCTATTTAACAATTACGTTATATTAAATTTTCCTATTTTTTTCCTGAATGTAGGATGTATAAATCAATAATAAAAGTTCCTATAAACATATGTCCGGAAATGCTTAATTTTAGATTTACAGGACAATGCAAATTAAAATAAAAAATATAACATATTTTAAAATATGTTTTAAGATGCTTGGCATAGATTTATAAAACTTGGATTAATAACAACTAATTATGGACTGATTTGCTGAGTTGATACACAAAATCTGTCGACCAGTAGCGGAGATTTGGGGAACACCGTCATTAACAACTCTTGAATTTCGACGCCACTAAATAGTTTGGAAATTGAATTTTAATTTAATTATAGGTAGTTGCTATTTCTAAAAAATATACGTCTTTTAATTTGAAAAATCCAACTATTTCTCAGTTATTAATTTTTTAACCTAAACAAATAGAAAATATTTCCAATATTATTTGTTACAGAAAAATAATTAAATTTTTTATAAGTATAGTTTTTAATTTTCTGAAGGATAGTAGCCTCTCTAAAAAATTAACATAGACACACTAACGATTTTTTTACTCCGACTTCAAAAATTCAAATTCTGTTTGTAACAAGAAATCCCTATATAGTTTTTTGTGGGATGAGTAGTTTTAAAGTTATTTTTGTTTAATCTAATTATATCTATGCTTATTTTAAAAATGATTACAATAATTATAACCAATATAACTTTCGTTTCTGGAATAAAATGGAAAACAATTTTTTTGTTGGCATTATAATTAATTAAGTCAAGTTTCGACAATATATATTTAGTAAATTTCAACAGAATCCATCGTCAAAATTTGACAGAGTGTATCATTAACATCCTGTATTTCGCTCCACAATTAGACACATTAAAACCATCACTTTTTTAGATTATATTTGTTTGTGTATGTATGTAATATGTATTTGTTCTTTTTCTATTGTATACTGACATCAATTTTTATATTTTATTTTTATTTTAAAATTTGTAATCTTTCCATTCCATAATTCACATTTAAATTGTCGGGGTAAATAAATCTGTACTTAAATAAATAAATAAAAAATTAAATTTAAGTCGCTTACTGAATTTCCTCATTGAACTTTTCTTTTATTTTTCAAAGATGAATACTAAAATATTTATTAGTAAATTTATTAGTCTCACATAATAAAAATGGATAAAGATGTTTATTTTATTGTTAACTGTTTTTTTTTACTTTTTTACTTTATTGATATCTGATTTTGTTAATCCATCTATTTTTATTAGCTATTTCTCCCACCTATTAATTGGTTTAACTGTCAGGTGGTGTAACTTAAATAAATAAATAAATTTGTGGCGTAGTTTTAGATTTTCTGATGATTGGGTACACAGGTGACAAAATACCCAGTTACCAGGGCACCCCTTGAGTGATTTTTTTAAACACCCATTTTATTTGGGTGTCAATCTTTTTGATGCCGTTTTGTTGGTCGTGGATAAAATTTTGTACTATATTAGTGCCTTATTAATGTAAAAGACACTCAAGGGACACTTAAATTTAAATTAAATTAAATTAATTCTTTTTAGTGTCCTACATGCACAACTATACAATAAATAATTCAAATTTACTGTTGAAACTTACTTTAATTCTTTCGGTGCAACACGGCATGGCTGCAAATATATCGTAGGAGTACATGGTGCCCAAAACAAGGGACGATCCGTCCCACCTCTGATTGCAGAAGCGGCACACGATGGCGCGACCGCTCACGCCTTCTAGGCAGCCCATGCAGACCACTGTGAGAAATTGGGTGCGTCCTTCCACTTTCACCTGAAAGAAAAATGCAGGCCCACATTACCGATGTGGAAATTTGGCAATTCCATGCATCTTTTAAAAGAAAGAAGAGCGGGTGCGTCTTTGTTGGGTAAAATTGGTACGAATGACGCTGAGTCATATTGTTTCTGGGTCGGCAATGGGTTTGGTGAAAGAACATTGTGGGTGGAACAATATTTTTCTTAGTTTCTTTGGGTATAATTTATATCACAAAAGAAGAATTACTTACGAAAAAATTCAGATTAAAACATATTACAACATACAGGGTGTATATAAATAAGTGCGCAAAAATTAAAGACATGATTCCTCGTTGAAAATTCAGGAGGGTTTTTAATATTAAACAAATTTCTCCGTCCCCTTCCTGTGAATTTATGACCCTTCAACGTCAAAAATTTTTTTCCTTAAAGATGGAAAAAGTTACAAAAATTAAATTACATACACTTTTCTTACCATCGAACAGGAATTTACTGGATAAATTTTCGATCTTCTTTGGTTACAAAAGATAGAAGTAAACTCCTATTTAAGTAGTATTAGTAAAAATCAATTTTAACTATATTTATTTGAAACAAATTTGATCTCTTCTGTTGTTTCGTAAATGTAATATTTAAACAAAAAATAAAATAGGTGTAGCAGAGTTTTTATTACAATAAAAGTAAGTACTTAAAATGACCGAAAATAAATTTAAAGAAGTCTCATTTAATTGTAAACGACAAACCACAAAACATCATAATAAATGTTGGAAATTACTACTTCCACTAGTACATAAGATTCCGTGCGTCAGTCGGTTAAAAATTGATGGATGATTTTGAATCCCGCACAATAATCAATAATGCGGTTCCTCATTTCTCTAATACCTTGCATAGGTACCCTTTACACTAGAGTTTTTAAATAACTGTATACAAAAATAAAAGATTTAAATCAGGTGATCGAGGAGGCCAAACTGAGATCCACCACGGTCTCTGCAACGATTTGATTATGCTTCGCCCCTCGCTTGTTTTTTCATGCTTTTTCACTAAAATGAGCAGAAGCTTCATCGTCATAAAACAACGTTGACACCTAGAGATTCATTTGCATGAAATTCTGGTTGTACTTCTTCGAGAAAGTAAGTATATGTCACTGTAAATAGCAGAAATCAAGTTCTCCAAAAGTTCCAATCTACACTTTCAGAGAAAACTGTTGCTGGTGATTAATTTTGCTTAGGTATGTGGTTGATGACGATAGAAGATAATTATCGATCCTCTGTAAACAAGATCTGCGCCGAAAACTCAGAATTTTGTTGTTTTTTTTTTGAGAATCCAATGAGAAAGGCAATACTTATGTGGAAAGGATATAAAAGTTCCTTTTGTAAGGTGGCACATTCCGTCATATGATTGACTGCAAAACTGCAACACAATTTTTCTAGAGCTAGTGGCTGGTTCTTCGTGAATAAAATTCAGTACTGTTTGTGACAAAGCAGCAACTTTAGTTTCGCGATGGCCAAACAATCGTAAGTTTTTTTCCTGAAAGTTTCAATTTGATTCTATGTGAAGGTCCGTAAACAAAGTGTGATGAGGAGTATTGCGTTGAGAATATCAGCGCAAATTCGACGTACTTTTATAAGTTGCTATTGGTACTTTTATAAGTGGCTATCTACGAAATGTTATAGGTTATTAGTATAGTTTTGCATGTCAAATAAACACTTAACGTAACAGTAATAATATTTGGAATTGTGAACAACTTTCAGACAACCGCCTAGAACCAAATTTTCATTTTAATATTTATATGCAGATCAGGGATATATGGTTTCCTTTACTCAATAAATATTAAGTTTAAGAAAAAATAGAAAGTTATGCAAGGAATTGTTTGTAGGGGTGGTTATTTCTACCCCTTGCAACCGTATGGGAAGACCAAAAAATTATCCAGTAAAAGTATTTTCAACAGTAGGTAAAATGTATACAATTTCATATGTATACCTTTCTCATTACTTGAAGCCTAAGGTAAGAACTATTTTTTTCCTTTGAACAACCATAACTTGCAGAGAGAGGGTAGATATATTTCTCTTACATGAAGGAACCCCATTAATTTTCAACGATGAATCACCTCAATTTTTTCGCACTTACCTATTTACATTCTGTTATCTCAAATTGAGCTCCAACAGATATCAGACTTTTTTGAAATTCTTCTAATTAAAAAACTGAAGAAGAAATACGTATCTAGCTCAACATTCCACACTATTTAAATAATTCTTATTGCAGTACACTACATCAAGTTCATAGAAGACTACATAGTTAATCCTCTTACCTCAATGCAACTTTTTGCATGCTGCCTTGGACTGAGAAAGAATGTACCATCCACCAAAGGATACCTGTCGAAAACAAGCAACTGCTCCTCGCACAGGACGCACTGAACCTTGGATCGTCCCTGGGAAGCTAGTGTGGACAGGATGAAGCAGCGGGTGTCATCGTTTCCGTGGTTGCCTTCATCCTCTGTCTGTAACAAAAAAGGAAACAGTCAACATCACATCACCTACACGTACGATTAAATTAAGATTAAAGGTCTTTAATTTTGTCCTCACAAAGTAGTTTTATTGCAATTCTATCGTCCTGTGTGGGAGGATCAAACACGACGAGCGGTTGCTTCCACCATTACCCTACACTGTTTGTGTTTATGGGTCTAAAAATATTCCTAGACACTCGAACAAATAATATTCCAAGACCGTCGACTTCCCGTCTCTGCCGGCTGCTAAATATGTATTGTTAATATCCGTAACAGTCAATAAACGTTTGACAGAACGAGCGGAGCGGTGTAAAATTCGCCGATAAGGCTAGAAGACGCGGCGAACGACGTCTTTGATCATTTTCCGATTGGAAACGCCGAGGGATAATATCCGGAGAACATTTAATAAGGTGGCGAGGACCGGACGTAATAACCAGAGAGGGTAAACAGCTTCTCTAGCGCTGAGGTTAACCGTTATAGTCAGGGGGCATATGGACAAACGCAATTTTAAACTGCGTAAATTAAATTTTTCAATAAACCCTCAGGTGTAACCGTTCCCGCTGAAGGGAAGATTTATAGATATTTCTGGTGTGGTATTTTGGATCAATACTGGACTGTGTTTCCCTTAAAAAAAGCTCCTTTACATGTCCAGACACTTACACTGATTGTGAGAAAAATTCTACTATTCGCTGGCAGATCTTAGTTTTATCGTTGGTATAGTTATGCTTGATTATCATAAGACATTTATGATTTTTTTGTTATGATTGTAATGAACATGAATTTCAAATTAACGGCGTTTTCCTTTTTAGGGAAAATGATATGATTCTAATGATGTAGATTGACTACCATTTAATGAAATGGTATGCTTGAGTAGGGTTAAGGACATGCGAAAGTAGCTACTGGTTTCAAGAAAACAGGTAAGGTTCATTACACTGTAAAAAAATTTCACTCAAATTTCACTCAATTTTACTCAATAATGTATCAGTTTCTGTCCCCACCCGTTTGAGTGAAATTTTCACTCTATTAGTACGTCCAGTTACTGCTAATTATCAATGTGACTTTTGACTCTATTGTGAGTATACAGGGTGAGTCATTAATAATGGTACACAGCTTAATGGCATATTGTTAACCTCGAAATATAGTGATTGAGCCAAATATGCCTCAATCAATTATTGCTCCTTTTCGTTCTACAGGGTGTTAAAGTTGAAAAAATATTTTCCTTTTTTATCTATATTTTAAGTATGTATGGACGATTGTTTTGAAAATTTGTAGTTTTACCTTTTTTTGAGGAGGCAAATACGAATATGCAAACAGTGTTGGGGTCACGTCTAGGGGGCGCTAGTTATACTGTCCAATGTAGAAATCTGTCTAACATTTTGCATTTTACAATTTTCAATTTTTTAACTACAAATTATCGAACTACGTTCAATTCTAAATAAAAAAGGTGTACTAGTTACAAATCGATAAACTAAACCGTTTTCGAGTTACAGACGTCTTAAGTTAAGTTGTACTGTCCTGTCAATGTAAAAATATGTCTAACTTATATATTTTACAATTTTGAATTTTTTGTTTAGAAATTGTTGAATTAAAGGTATACTTGTTACAAATCGATAAAGTCAACTGTTTTCGAGATACAGACATTTTAAGTTTTTGAGATTCGGCGGGAATTAAATTAGAAAATCAGCAGGTCTTAAGATACCAAGCCTGAATTAAGAATTAAGACAAACATTACAACAATTAAAGATTTTATTATGCATATCTTAACAAATTATTAACTACCAGCAACTTCAATGCACTTTCTTAGCCTTTTATTAAGATATTCTCTTCTCTAAAAAATAACGACAAGGAAAAAACTACTTCTTAATCAAATTAAGTAGAAAACAATATGGTACTGTAGTGACAGCTGTCAATTTATTATGTCCATGCCTACTACTTTGGAAAAAATAATTTTCTAATTTAATTCCCGTCGAATCTCAAAAACTTAAAATGTCTGTATCTCGAAAACAGTTGACTTTATAGATTTGTAACAAGTATACCTTTAGTTCAACAATTTCTAAACAAAAAATTCAAAATTGTAAAATATATAAATTAGACATATTTTTACATTGACAGGACAGTACAACTAACGGCCCCTAAACGTGACCCCAACACTATTTGCATATTCGTATTTGCCACCACAAAAAACGTAAAATTACAAATTTCAACAAATTCAAAACAACCGGTCCATACATACTTAAAATATAGATAATAAAATAAAATATTTTTTCAATTTTAACACTCAATCGTTATATTTTGACGTTAACAATCTGCCATTAAGCTGTGTACCATTATTAATGACTCACCCTGTATAAAACCAATGATTTAAATTTAACTATTGTATGTATGTATGTATGTATGTATGTATGTATGTATGTATGTATGTATGTATGTATGTATGTATGTATGTATGTATGTATGTATGTATGTATGTATGTATGTATGTATGTCGGAGGGGTGGTGGAATTGTCTTCCACCACGGCACTTAGGCCTTATTAGACCCCTTGTACACCCTCCTTCATTACTCGAGTTCTTCAAACCATCTTATTTACTACACGGATGGCTTGGTGGCAAAGTCTCGTACAGAATTTAACTATTATTTCATTTTTTACTCAGACTTGGTTTTTAATTAATTAATTAATTTAATTAATTGAGTGCATTTAAATACAATTTTCACTGAATTAACCAGATAAACCGACATTTGTCCAACTCCACAGCACACCATACGCCATACTTCCATCCACCACGCCACGTCACGAGCCTAATGGGACGATGCGAACAGACAAAAACGATGCATCTGGATATGAAAAAGGATGGGATCACTCAGTAATGAGGACATTTACTCTGATTTAGGTACAAGTACACCAAATATGAGTCTACGTGCGAATTTATTTAAGAAGTACCTACCTATATTTGAGTGAAAGTACTCAGTTCTAATTTAGATATAATCACAAACGAGTAAAATGCCCAATGCCCAATATTGAGTGAAAATGTACCTACTCAATAATTTCACTCTATGGATTCAAATTTTAAGGCATAAGTTACAGCACCATCTAATAGGCACCTTAATTTGTTCGCGTAGTTAATGCATAAAAACATTGATAGGTAGCGCTACTGTTGAAGATATATTTACTGTTTCATTATCAATCCATATTAAAGTGAGATAAAGTTATAAATTAGCGCGAAATTTCTAATACATGTTTTATGGTGGTGCAAAATGTAACGCGATTACATACAGATTATATTTTTATTATTTAATCAGATGTTACTTAATTGAACATATAATTTAGATTCATAAAAATTATTGCGATAAGATATGGTAAGTCTCTAATTCATTTTAATGTGTTTTGTAATAGTATGAAATTTATAATATTAAAAAAATTGTGTTTAATACTTCTTAATTTGTTAGATGGTTTAATAAGTTAAGTTAGATGGTTTATTAGACAATAGGTTTAACTGTGATCTCATTTGAATAAAACACAGCTGTCGTATAAATTTATTAGTATTACTAATTTTAAATTAACAGTATTAAACTACAACAGAACAGTCATCTATTAATGTTCTAAGCTAAAATATACTCGTATAGTCAACTTCAGCAGAATATATGGCTTTGACACTCATACCGTGGCGTTCCCAATAATTTACAGAAAAAGACATCCCCTTAGTTCCTGTATGGCTAAGGATACTCCAAGAATTCGGTCCGAACAGTGATGTGAAAATAATACCTACGCGGTTGTGACGTCATTTGAGAGCAAGACTGGGCATGAAAATGCAGCTTTCTGTCGTTTTTCTCATAACTCGAAGCTTTTGCAGCCTGAACCTCTCAAAATCATTCAATTTACTACGCAAAACAAGTAAAGCTTTTTCAAACTTCAAACTTGACATAATACTTAAGGTTATGTTTACGTTTAGACTATATACTTCAAATTGACTTTTTGAAGACGATTCATAACTTACATAAGTGTGGAAATTACACGTTTTACGTGAACTTAAAATGTCTCTTTTAATATAATAGTTATTGTGGTATGAATATACCACAAATCTGATACTTGAGTTGGTCTCAGGTGACGTCATGCGCAGATAGGACAAAATTGAGCCAGTTGGCGAGCATATTATTTTCACACCACGGTCCAAATTCTTAAAATGATGAGTCGATTTATGAATGATCAGATCTAGTTTCACCTTCTAATTAGCTACCGCTAAACTACTATCGGTGAGATACAGATGCTGACATCTAACGGTGATATTGTAAAACTAGTATCAGAAATGGGAAATTCTACTAGTCACGGTTATTCTGAAGAATTAATATTAATGTAATTCCAAACCCATGCCCCCCGACTATTTCTACCCTTCTGCTTGTATTGTACCTACTGTATTTGTACAAACATAATTTCGGACGGAGACGCTCCGTTATCTCTCGGTGTATGACACCCGGATCGATACCGTGTTGTTTGATGGGGATGTAATTACTGGTGGATTAGTGGAAACTGGCAGGTACTGCGATGGTCCATCGGATGCTCGAGAACGGATAAAGCTTTCTTAATTAATAATTATCATATCAGAATGCAAACAGGGCTGTCGTTCGTGAGAGCACGCTAAATGTGTTGGGTCGTTTATTTTTGTCTAGGGGCGATGCGGATCGTTAATTGGCGTCAAGGGCGGTGACGGCGAATTTGCGTTAAAAATGACGTTTTTGAATTCTCTTATATGGGAGATACTTCTTTACACCAAAAAGTACCATTTTATAGAAAATCTGCGTGAAAATGGGGAAAGTTATTTGTGCACTAATTCTTATTTAGACAAACTGTGTAATAAAATCTATAAAAATGTATTGTTGGTGGCCTATTTGCTATAGAGCCCTCTTAATGAAATTTAATATTTCGATATGTAGCAAATGGAGACTATGATAAAATGGAAATTTTCATAGCTAAATAAGGACGTTGAGTTCTTTATTTTTGTCTAGGAAAGCTACATTAATGATAAACAAGATGCAGCACCTGTCTTCGTGTTTTCATTAAAAGCAACGTTTTAATCATATCTTACATAGAGAACTACAATGAACAGGTAATTAGGTTTATAAAAAAACTGTTGTAGATATAGGGTCGGAAAGTCCCCATGGTTCATCGGTCGTTACGTGAGAGCGATAAAGAAAGTCATAGAAATCCGTGCGATAGAGAAAGATGGCTATAATGAAGGCGTCTAATAGTCACCGCCCATTTCGCCCTTCCACAAATAAGATCCACTTCTTATGAAGAAATGAGAAATGTTGGGCGTTCAGAGAATGAATACCAGACACTTACCGTATCTCTGTCGCTCATGAACAAGGTAATCCAGTGGTTGGTTGTATAGGGTGAACTTAAGTTGGAAGAACAAGAAAGAAACACCTAAACTTCCAGAAAAATAACGACATAACGGGCTCGAACAACATTATTAATTAATTTATTGACTCGCGACAGCGTACTTATATTCAGGAAATGCGCGATTCATAGCAAAATTTGGAATGACTTTGTCCATTATTAAATTAACCCAGACACTTTAAAACTAAGTCGACTGCTCAATGTGGAACCTACGGAAAAACTGCCTATTTTTCGGATCTCTCCTGAATTCAACACCTCGCTTCGACACGCCCATTTCTTGGGCCCAGAAGTTTCTGTTCTTATATTAGTGGCGGGAACCTGAATATCGAGACGCTTTGGCATAACTATGTCATGTTAATAATTACCTAATTGACTGGACTTACATTTATATAAATAATTCTGTGACTAACTGAACTTACAAGTAACCCTAGTCTTCTTCTAGTGACTCCGTGTAGCAATACGGGACGAATTAGTCAATCTCATTTAATCTGTTCTTATAGCATGGAAAATCCGCTTAAAAACCAGCTATTTGATCTATTATTATTTTTCTAACACCTCCTAACAACTTATTCTTGGAATTTCTACGTTCTTTGGAATGCATTTCGCGAGTTATTTGAAATATCGATTTTTCTCTTTACCAGATGCTTAATACATGACATTGACAGTCTAAGTGAACTTGTTAAAAAATATTGCTAAATTTCTCCGAAGGACGACGCTAAACCTACTTGAGAGCCCTTAAATTTCGATAATTAGTGTTGACTGAAATATTTTACTTTTTGGCCCATCCGTTCCAAGAACTAATAAATGACCACGCGTCTTGGCTTTTGTTACAATATTAAAGATAATGTAGACACGTATTAGAACGAATTTGAATTTTCTTTATGCCTTATGTGAAATATATAAAAAAATTTATAAAGTCGAACGAACATGTTTGATTTGAAGAGAATAATATTTCAATATTTCAATATAAACATCATAGGTATTTATTAAATAACGGCATGGAAGGAATTACAGAAATTTTGTAATAATCTTTGCATTCTTTAAACTATCTTTGACAAACTGCAGCAATAAGTCTAGACGCGGTAGAAAATAACGACACTAATACACACCTAGCCGCGTTGAACAAGACAATCATTATGCCCGTTTGTGGCAGGACCTATAAATAAGTTTTTCAGCCGTGAAAAGCCGCAGTCGCCCTACACTTCAATTTCACAGGAGAGGTTTACAACGTGCTCCTAATTTGATGTATGGCTTGGAAACGCTACAGAGGTGTTTCACTTAAGGAACAACTAACTTCCCGTCCGCCTCACTTCAAAGCTCTTGCAGGTTACTCTGGCGGAGTGCTAACAATGGCTCTTGGAAGATTATTTGTACGGCATGAATAAACGCAACAGGTATTTGACGCGACGCTGAAAAATTGCGGCGATAAGGTGCTTGCTTGATGCTTTGGAGCGACTTTAATCCTTGACAGAAACAAGTGATACCTAATTTTCATGTATGGTCCTTATAATCAATATTCTTTATTCTTTTACATTTAACCATTTAACAGACGTCTCATTTTATTTATTTATTTATATATTTATATACGGGGTGGCCAAATGAAAACGAAACAGAGCCATTTTCAGACCCGTCGATTTTAGATTATAAAATATTTAAATGGCATTGGGGGGTTGAGTAATATTTCTTTTGAAAGCTCTTACAATTTTCTTTACAACAGACTTTAAATTTTATAATTCCATGCTATTTAAATATTTTGGGGTGATGCTTACCCTTGCTTGGGGGTGAAAGTGGCGGAGTCAAAAATACCAGCAAAGAATGCCCCCCTTTAGTTTAAAATTGACGGGTCTAAGCGTTTTTCTACAATCTTGACGCAGTTCCTGAAAATTGCTCTGTTTCGTTTTCATTTGGTCACCCTGTATTTATTTATTTATTTATACAAATTATTTGTCCAACTGTAAAATACTATACTAATTATAGAACAAAGTTTACAATTAAATAAGAAGTAATGTATGAAAAATATAAAAAAACAAAAAATAATATAAAAACAAATATATGCACCTGTCCAAAATTTACAAGTAGAATAATAATTTTAAGGAGGATCGAGTGCTACGAAAAAATGCGGCCAATTTCGTATTATTGAGATGTTATGTTTGTGATGCGAAATCAAATTCTATGAATTATTCTCGAATTATAAAACCTCAGTAACAGTAAATTTCAGCATGTTTTTTCAACTTAACCATTTCTTTGTGAAAGCACAAAGCGCCCAAATTCGCCCGATTAGGCAAAAATATCCGAGCGATCGCCAACAAAGCCCTCCGAATTTCCCGGGAAGCCAAACGGTCCTCCCGGCCGATCAATGGCTACTTGATTATTATCGTATGCAGGCGATGAGGGTTGTTTCCTGTTTTTGATCGTGGCTGTGGAAGTTGTCAGGCTGCGGAGTTGTTATAAACTTCCACGAAATCCATTTTATTTGCTCAGCGGGAACGCTGACCACAGGAGAATATAACAAAGTGACCAAATAACACGCGCCATGCAAATGGGGAGTCGGAGCAGAAATATTTAATGGGACACGACAATCAGGGAAAGTTAAGGGCCTAGAAACTGGACGATGTATTGATGAGAAGGGTTTCCCTTGAAGTTGAAGCATACCAGTATTATTCTTTTAAGAAAAAACGGATAATATAATAAATACATAATTGCCTATTTTTTAGTACACTACATACATTTTCACTATTAGCAAATGCAGAAGAAATGTTCTTGCTTGTGCGTTTTGTCAGGAACGCATTTTTCCTTCAGTTTCGTTATCATTCCTAAAGATTTAACCATCCAAACCATCCTTAGAACTACAAAGACATTATAAAATTAAGAGCAACGCCAGCGTCTTAATCTTTAAATAGAGTAGCAGCTGCACACCTGTTCAAAGTAGACATTTTTTTAAAGAAAGGATACCTTCCGGTAAAAGCCCTCCACAACAGTTTTGAACCATAGGCAGTTTATTCTATTACTAGGACTATAAAAGAAACTCTTGATATTTTGTTTGTATTAAACTATTTAAATTGGTTTTCTGATTGTATCTGAACATACATGTTGCCAGCATTTGTTTTCCCTTATGCGAGGAATAGAACATTGAGCTTTCCAAAGTCTGTGTCATTTCACTGTGGACAAATCATCGTCAGAACCTGCCAAAAATGAAGCAAATGAATTCGAAAGCAGTACTTGGTATATTTTCCAGGGTGTACTAGATTAATAAAAGTGGTCAGTGCTTTTCACATTCTAGAGAAGATATTGATTCCAACATACATTTTTTATTTTTATACAAAAAAGTTGATGATATTGATATTAACTAACAAGTTCCATCATATTCATTCTCGAGATATTCCAAATCTTGTATAAGCTTTGGTTTTTGTAATATAATTCGGAAAACGGAGCTTTCGTCAAATGTCTGTCCACTATAGACTCCAGTTAATTCAATAATCATATATACTATTACTTTTGCAAGTAACCAACTTTTTTTTATCTTTGACCAAAAATTTTGTGACATTTTATATAGTGAACTATTTTTATCTCTTGAGCTCTGATTCTTCATCTCAAAAATGCAATACGAAGTAAGTACATACTAATATTGACGTTTTTCTTAATTGACAAAACGCATTTTAAAATTCCATAGAAAATACATTTTTTTCTTGGATTCTTTATATCAGAGAGAAAATTTTCATTATCTAAATTACTTATATTATTGAATCACAATGCATAATCACTAATTGAACAATAAGTAAATACAGAGATGCTACTTTGACACTTAGGTATAGTGTTCGACCATATAAATATAAACAATTCGATCGCTGTAAATGAAACAATGAATTAATTGACTTACTATTTATAAATGATATGAAATGAAATGAAATAAAAAATGTCAGTGCAAATATGCAAATTTAAATTTTTAAGGGTCTCAGTCTTAATTTCCACCAAAACTATGTATGTAATTAGGATCACAAGCGATCATTGTGGTACCAGCTGGAATAATAATTATTTTGTATAATTTACTGCAATAGTTTTTTTTCTGATCTACAGCTTTACAGATGCATAATCATTTCTATAACTGTATTAGTAATATACTCATGCAGGAAAGGTTGAAGGGCAATATTCAAAAATGGCAGCAAGAAGTACCTGGACAGAAACAAATCAAGAAGTTAGTAAAAAGGCCATCGATAACAGTAGAACTGCCAATTGAACATTGTAGATTTATGAAACATCTGAGCAATATTGATCTGGAGGATGAGTAATACTGGCTGATATGTAGCGAGTGTCAAGACCTAGAAACAATGCGTAACCTACTGTTTGAAAGGGAAAAACTGGAAACTACGTGAAAGAACCTCTGTCATAGTTGTAAAATATTCTTAGAAGAGAAAAGTTAAAAGAGAATCTTTGCAATCCACAACAAAATCACAAATTATCGCACTGGAAACATATGGGGTATCCAAATGTTTAGAAAAGAAAAGCTGTAGGTCATTTGAAGGAGCTGCTATTATAGATATAAAGCTCATTAGATTAGATCTACGGATAGTGGCAGTGGAAAAGATGGTGTATCCATGTGCCCACTGGAAATATTTACAATCTACCCTTTTTCTGATAGTGATTCTTCTGGTTCTGGATAGATAGAAGAGAAATGATTAAGCTGATGGATGTTTCCAGTCATAGATCTGAGTCATACGAGTAGTATCCATCCACTGGTGTATGTCAAAACTTCCTTCCTCAGATTTTCAATAATTGATGTTCCTTGTTATTACTTTTTAAAGTTCCATCATACGTTAATTAAATCTGCGAATATTTCTTAAACATTTCTTTTTTTGTCTTCAACTTAAACACCGAAAACATTTAATATTACCCAACGACCTGAGTTCAGGGGCACATTATTGTGCAAAAAATGAAATGGGACTTTAATAACGTTCTTAGCTTAA